ATCCTTTTTCTATGATAGCGACTAGTATTTTTAGCCTGGTGATTTTCTAGGAAATGTCAACTGTCCGGCTACGCATCAGCACATACCCGTAGAAAGCGATGGTCTTCACGCGACGCCACAACCAAAAAAAGGCAATTAATTGTGTTTTAGTTTTGGATTTGACAATTCAAAGGCACATATCGCTGTTCCCAAAATTTTTCAAAATTGTCGAACTGGATGATACAAGTACATAAACTGATATTTTTACTGACTGGTTTGACTTATCACTGCACGGTATTGACGGCGTTTACTCTGTGTTTGTGCCATACATTTCTGATTTAGAAGATTTTCTTGATTTTCTGGATTTTCTCGTTCGCTTTTATCCTTTGTCGCATGGCGAGTACTAGATAGGATGAAAAATCACTTGACGTTTTGGTGTCGCTGGCAATGATTAGCTCTAGCGTTTAATTAATTAGAGTGACGTTTTATGAAATTGGGTCACCACCAAAGGAGTGCAGGGCAATCTTTGTAACAAGAGTGAATTTGAAGTGTACATATACTGAACTGACGTACATACATTACTTCGCCAAGTGCAGTTTTTTGTGGAGGAATAATTCTTAAANAAAAAATGATATTTTTTACATAAGAAGCTTTTGCTAAAACTCTTTAAGATGCAATTTTCTAAATCAACTCATATTATTATATATTAAATTAACCCTACTGCTGCACACCGCAAATGAAATTTAATTGATATATATTTTTTTTTCTCTTACAGACTCAACATTTTCTAATGCATCTCACCGCCTAAATAATTTCCTTGCTTTCTGCAATTAAGGTACTTTAAATAAAAATTGTACAAAAACACGTGCCAAATTATCAAAGTAAATAAGTTAAAGTTATATAAAATTTATTAGAAAGTGTGTCAAAGTGCAAAGTGAAAGTTGTAAAATCAAAAGCAAAAGCATTTAACTAAAGCAAGTGAAAGTGGTAGCTTGCTTTACTTCGAGTTCATCAGAAAGACTACAATAACAAACGCAGTTCGGAAGTGATGTCGTCATGAGACCGACATTCGATCGACGCCTCTGGATATTACTGTACATTCTACTAATACAATGTGAGTAAAAAATCTAGAAAATATATGAAATTTACTATTCTAACAGAGCAATTCTGACCACTGTCTTTCAACTCACCACAGTCTTTCGAAAGAAAAAATCCTGCTAAATCCTGCAACTAACTTGAAAACTCTTTTCAGTCTTCCGAAAGGCTAGTTAAAAGACCTACTAACGAGGGGGTATTAGCATTAATATTTGCCCTTTAGCAATAAGTTTTCTAAAAATTAAATTAAATAGACAAATTTTTAGTTATAAAAAATAAATCAAAAATAAAAATTAAAAGAAAACAAAATTAAAAAAAAATTATAAAAATTAAGTTAAATATATATATATTAGACTGCATCGCCAAAAAAAGTTGCTGGTTTTCCACCGGGATTACAAAATTTATTATATTCTAAGACGTCCACCAAAATATTTCGGAAAAATATTAAGATTTAAGCGAGCTGGACCGATTTGAAAATACCTCCAAAAATTAAGTTTTTTATGAATAAAAATAGTGTCCTAAAGAACTTTTTGAAAAAATTCCCCTCAGATCACAAATTGGATTAAGCTTTAAAAATCTGCATAAAAATATTTAAAAATCTTTTCAACGGAATCGTAAGAATGAGATTTTTGATGCTGTTTTTTTTTTGCTTTTTTCAAAGATTGGTTTACGAAAAACTTGAATAACTGGCACAAAAAGTTTCTGATTTAAACTTATGGGATCTCAGTAGGAAGGTATTTTCACACTGTTTTTATTTCTGGCCAAAAAAACGTCATTGGTGTCCCATCTTGTTTTTTCGAATACCAACTCATCTTAGTTCAACTTTGAATGACGTTCGTTCATCCTACCTTTCTCTTCCATCCTTTGAATGAGTTTATTAGCAAAGAAATAAAAAGGGTCAGAAAATACCTTTCCAATGACACCTCTTAAGTCTAAATCGGAAGAGTTTAGGTTCAGTTATACAAGTTTTTTTTCCTATACCAATCCTTGAAAAAAGTTAAAAAACAGCATCAAAAATCTCATCATCATAATCCGTTCAAAAATTTTTTTTTAATTTTTTTAAAATATTTTTATGCAAATATTTTAAGCTTAAACTGTTTTATCATTTGAGGGAATTTAAAAAAAAAAATCTTTAAGAAACTATTTTTATTCATAAAAAACTCGATTTTTGGAGGTATTTTCAAATCGGTCCAGGTCACTTAAATCTTAATATTTTTCCGAAATATTTTGGTGGACGTCTTAGAATATAATAGATTTTATAATTCCAATGGAAAAATAAAATCTATTATAT